GGCCCCGGAGGCGGTGCGCGCCGCGGAAGGTGCGCGGGGGCGCGCGCGGCGGGAGCGGGCGCGGCGGGGCTCCCAGCGCCGCGTGCATTGTGCGGCCGCTCGCACTTTGCGGCGCGGCGGGACGCGGAGTCCCGGGCGCCTCCTCCTCCGTGCCTGCCTCCGCAGCGCGGCGCATGATGGCGGCGGCGGCGAGCAGCGCCGGGAGCAGCAGCAGCGATACCTCCAGCACCGGCGAGGAGGAGAGGATGAGGCGCCTCTTCCAGACCTGCGACGGTGACGGCGACGGCTACATCAGCAGGTAGCGGCGGGGCGGCTGCGGCGCGCCCCGGAGCCGCCTCTCAACTTGGCGGCAAGTTCGCGCGGAGTTCCTGCAGTTGGCAGCGCAGAGCGCCGTGCCCGGCGCGCGGCGCCTCCGCAGCGGAGCGGAGCCGCGGGGAGCCCGGGCGGCCCCGCTCGCCCTGCCCCGCTGCGCCCCGGCCGCACTGGCAGCGGCAGCGCGCGGCGGCCGCGCGCCGTAACGGCCGTTAGCTGCTGGCGCGCGGCCGTTACGGCAGCGCCCCCCGCCCCGCGGCCGTTGGCGGCCGTTGGCGCCGCGGCGTGCCTGGAGCGCGGCCCCGGAGCGCGCTGGGATGTCGGGCAAGACCAGTAACTTCCCGCGAGTCTGCAAGTTCAGGTCTTCTAAGATGGGTGTTTTGGGTGACCTAATGCGTTAGGCAGGTGGTTTCTGTAAGTAAACAAGCAAGGTTGGTCAAAGATAAAACTGAGTCAGGGCTTGGGGGAATACACGTTTCTGTGAGAAACACTTCTGTTAGCTGGCATGCTTGGGAAGAAATGAAATGCCCTTTTGGACCTTCCCTTAGGTATGTCTTCTTATAAATACGGCAGTTTAAAAGCGTAAGGGTTATTACTAAAATTTTTAGCATGCTTTAATCTATAGCAGTGGGTAGACTCTAGTGCACGGTAGTCCAAGATAAAAATCATAGCAGTTTCTGAGAACATATAACTTTCTTGAGTTTTCTTTGATATTCTTGTATTAGAACCTAATTTAAACTCCTATCCCCATGTCCTCTCTTAGCTTTAGAATTGTGACATGCAATGACCGTACAGTGTTACCGATTCCAAGTAAGCTATAATGAGGTGCTTGTATATCTGGAATTATTTGGCAATGTGTTTTGATCAGAATGGGGTTTGATGGGAGGTATTTCTGGAACTAATTCACTTATTCCAGACCATAATTTAAAAAATAACTATACTAAACACCAGACTTTTCTGAGATGCTGGGAGCTTGCAGCTTCAAAATGAAGCCAGTGTTGACTGTACTTAGTAAGCACTTCTAGAGAGCTGAGTCAAAGTGAGGGGAAGTTTCTAAGCCTCTTATCTAACCTGAAACCTAACAGTATAACTGCAGAAAGGCTAAGTAAACTTCAGCCCCCTCTGACGTCTCTGTGGAACCAGAAAGTTATTTAAAGTCTCAAAGGACTGACAGTCACTTAAAAAAAAAAAAAAAAAAAAGCCTTTGAGGTCATGATATTTCTAATCTAAAGGGCCCTCATACACTGTTTTTTTTTCTGTTTTCTTATTTAATCATTATTTTGACAGCTGCAGTTCTGAAATAAAAACTTGGAAAATGCACAATTTCTTACTGGTGTGTTAAGGTGATTTCTCTTTCTGCCTGTTAAGTGGAAAGTTATGGAAGTTATGCTGAAGTCTGAGAACTTGGGTTCGCTTAAGCACCACTGCCTCCTACGAGCACACTCAATGATCTGTATATATGGTGGTGCTTTCCTACAGCATAAACTAGATTAAAGCACTTGCTGAAGGAATGTTGTAGTGCTTTGTATGGATGGTTCAAACACACTACCACGACACAAGGCAGTCATGTTTTCATTGGCATTTTTCACATTTATAACATGTTTTGTTCCAAATTAATCCTGTGTATATTTCAAAATACATGTTTCTGTGTGTTGCTTACACTATATTGTTAAAAGTTTTTAAGGCTCCATGACATGTTCTGGGATGGACCTTAGATTTCAGTAGGAAACAGAATTAAAGCTCAGAAAGTAGTGGTTGAAAATCCCTAAGGGTTTTAGGAGTCCATTGTTGATGGTTGCTAATACCTTGCTTTACATGGGAATGTGCCTTTGAGGCTTTACAGGGCAATGTGCCTTTGAGGCAGGTATTGGTATGACTGTGATCAGAACATAATATTCTAAATTGTTATCTTCCCTTAAATTTCTTTATCTGTGAAGAATTGGTGGGTGAATATTTGACAAGTGATTTTTGTCATAAAACAGAATCATTTGCTTTTCTTGACCTTATTAGCTCACTGAGGCAATCAGTCTTGTAAATGGAAGGCATTCCTTACTTTGCTTAGTGTTTCAGTTTCCCTCATAATCTATTTTATAGCAACGGTTTGTGCAGGAGTGAACTTGCCCAGTGGTTTTTGGATGCTTCTGTAGTGCACGTGCCACCTTAGTCTCTAAGACTGACTCGTGGTCACACAGTGTCCATATGAAAAGTATAGCAATGGCTTTATCATCGTGTACTGTCTCAGGACAGTGTTTGGGTAGCAGCACTTTTTTTAAAACGTACTCAATTTAAAAAGAGCCAAAAAATTAACATCTACTCTTGTATTTACTTTAATCATGTGCTTTGTCTTGCTCCTGCTTTTTCTCTTTTTTTTTTTTTTTTTCTCCAAATAGAGGCCAGTTACTTGGCTTTCCTGTTCGCTGCCACCCTGCTTCAGTTGGCTTCCCTTTCTTTATGGGACTATTGGTGTTTTTGATCCTTGAGGGTAAAGCTGCTTTCTTTGTTGCCTTTCTTGTAGCCCCAGTGGAAATGGTAGACTGACTTCTCCATGTCCCTGCACTGTTTACAGGAGATAAAACATTGCCAATAAATGTCCAAGCATCTGTATGCAGAGCTGAAAACAGAGAAACCAACACTGTAAATCCATCTGCCTCCTTCTGTGCTAGAAGTGATCTGTAGACTTTTACTAGTTTTAGCATCTTTTTGTAACTTATTTTCCATGCAGTGGAATTAAAGTTGTTTACTATATTTCAGCTGTTATTTAGCATAAGTTGTCCTGGCTTTCAAAATGAGTATGCTCTCTGCTGTGCTAAGGGAATGAAGCCTCATCAGTCTTTTGTTTGCATAGTGCATGCACAGTTAGTTCATAAGATTATTTTCTCTCCAACTCTTAGGCCTGCTATGGAAGAGACTGCAAAGGCAATCATTTTATGTGCATGTTTATTTAGTTCATATTGCATGGGGAAAAGAGCTATTTGCATTCCTAATGAAGTTATATGGTGTCTCAGCTGTGGAGCTGCTTTGTTGTGCATCTAGCTGTAAACCTCTTCAAATAATAGCAGGAAGTAGAGGCACAGATGGAGAGGAGGAGCATGTCCTGAGATACTGATTAATTTTCAGGCTCTCAATAGTTGGGATCGTACTAAAATGAAAAAGCTTAAGTACTAAGTGTGTGCTGTTGATGGTTGTATTGGAGAAGAATTTGAATAACGAGGGATGGAGTACTAGGCCTGTGCTGGTTGCTGCATGTTACATTTTGTAGTTGTATCACGAAATTGCACTTTGAAATCTTGCAGCATTGAGGTATATTGAAATATTAAGAGACCACAGGAGCTTTAATTTGTTCGTTTGTACAGAAGTGGGTTTTGCTCCTTTGGGGAGTGATAGTAGTTAATTATTTAACATCTCATAAAGGCTAGGCATGTTTGTGATATGTCATCAACAATGAGAGATAATTGCAAAATAAATATATGCAAAGCAGTCCATGATTAAGCCTGGGTCCTGAACTCTGAAGATCAGCTAAATAAGCCTCACTGGGAGTGGGAGTCAGCTTTAGACACTGTTCACATGTAAACTTTATTTTTGCAGCTGTAACTGGATTGTGTTGTTATTAACAAAAAGCTGTTAACTGAAAAAAAAACCCACTACCTTTGTTTTTCTTCTGTTAGTTTTGAGAAGCTTGAGAATCTGCTGCTATGGGTAAAACTATTCGGCTTCAGATGGTCTGGATGCTTGGGGTGCACCTGCTGCTTTTGCTTTTGTTTTTTGGTATGGTCAGCATACGTGGTCTTGCCAGTGAAGAAAGTGAGGACATGCTTAGTTTTTACAGGTGGTATACTAGATGATTGTTTTTAGAAACTTGATTGCCTTGTATTTGGATTGTACTGAAGTTCTAGTTGTGCATGTAATGATTTTGCCTTTATTGCATTAGTTATTAAGTGAATTTCCAGATTATTCTTTTGCAACACTGCATGCTCCAAATAAGATAATTTTGTAGATATTTTCATTTATATTAAAAAAGTGAAGCTATGAGTTACAGAGATGATAGATGAAGAAATATCTAATTTCTATATTAAGCTACATATTTTTATAATGTTTGCTTTATAAAGCAAGCTATTTTTATAATTCTAACTCTTTAACACTGACAAATACTTCTTAGGACTATGAAACAAATTTGAAACTAATATTGAGTACATAAGGAGAAAATTCATCATGATATAATAATAAAAGTTCTCACTGTAGAGTTTGTTTGAAAATATTTTCCTCTGCATATGCATTTTTTTTTTTTACATTTCAGTCAGTATTTGACTTACTCTGCCTTTAGATGGTTGAAAATCCACAAATGTGCTAATTTTTGCAGTGGGCTTGTGCATATGCAATATGCAATAGCATATGCTGAGAGCGTGCTTCCTTTGACTGCCCTCATCAGAGACAGTTAAAAGAAACTTGTTGGATCTGATCTATTATGTGAACTGTTTTAGTGGTATAGCTATGAGAACTCCCCAAAACTTTGCAATGATAAACTGATATTATATATATAAGACATATATACATATATATATATTTTAATGAGCTGCGAGGGTTTTGTAGCTAGGTAGTGCAACAATGAGAGAAACTGTGAAAGTATTTATTGCTTTAATCAAAATTGCATGCTACTATTCTTGTAAATTCCTTCATTAATGTAGTGGCACTAAGCCTGTTTACAGGACACTTGATGTGTGTTGTGTATAATTTTCTGGAAATAGGAAAATTACTGTTGAGAAAAAAAAAAAAAGTCCAAGCTAACTGCCCTGAAATATTTTTAGGTAAATCAAATATTTTAAAATCTTTTTTTTCCCTTCAGATGTTTTTGTATTGTCTTTTACCTCTTCCTCTTTAAAAATAGGCAATTATGGCAAACTGCGTGGAGTGAATATTGATGATGATGTTTCCCAGGATAGTAATCTGTATTTTTCCTTGCATCTGGAGGAGAGTTTACATTTTAGGGTA